GGTGTAAGGTGGGGCTGGGGCGGGGGGGGGGGGGGGGCGCGGGGGTGAGACACTATCAAGTGGAGTGAATAACACCAAATGGAGAAATAATCTCCCTCCAGAACCCTCCGGACCTGCTGCAGGTGGATAAGCAGGCGTCTCCCATAGGGCAAAGCAGCCTTCACTCCCCAAAGAGATCATAACCTGCACGAAGAGACGGGGCCAAGGAACTGCCTGGAACAGGGAAATGACGTGAGCAGCAGCTTTGAGTAGCAGTATGTCCTCTGTCCCGACACCTGCTTTTACCTAAAGACCTATGGAAAAAGTGGGCTGCTCTGTTGGCTTGGAGAAGAAATGACTGGCTTAGAAGCAAAAACCATAGTTGGTTAGAGGTCCTCGAGGCCAAGCCTCTCCTGAGTTGAGGCCCAGAGATAACTGAAAGTGTGTGTGTGGCTGGCGCAGCCCTGGCATCTATGTGCCCTGGCTGTCGGCCCAGCTCTTTACACCACCCACCTGGACATGACCAGGAAAGAAGCCTGCCAGTGGGGGATCTCACCAGGCCTGGGCAGTACCTTGAAACCCATGGGCCAGTGTATGAGGTAGAGGTCCAAGTACTCCAACTTCAAGGCCTTCAGAGTGTTGGAGCAGGCTGGTCTCACCAAGGACTTCTTATGGCTGGTGCACCAGAGCTACAAGGGAGAGGAGAAGCGTGACAATTGGCCACAGAGCCAGCGTTGACACATCTTCCCCTGGGTCCCACAAATCCAGGATCTGGAAGACAAACAACATTCAAGACCCGGTGGCCATAAATACAGCGGCCGTGACATTATTCTCCAATGGTCCAGGACGTCCACAGGGAGGCAGTCTGCAAAGCTCAGCTCCTCCTGCCTGATTTCTCCTTAGGGGAAGTGGGGGGAGGGGAAACACCGTGAAATTATTTGATGGGAGAGCTGTCTGGTTATTTGGATCCACTGAGACCAAAAAGATAAAATAAAATAAAAATACCCACAGGCAGAAAAGATATGAGGAAAAATCAGAAGAATTTGTGTATTCATTTTCCCACTTGAACAGACTCTATGTTAAAGGTTCTCTGTTATAAAGACCTCAATCCTGCATATTAAACTAGGTAAGTAAGTTAACACAGACTGCCTTATACTTAGTGCTTAACACCCTCTGTGAAGTAAAAAAGTTTGTAATTTGTTTTCCCCTCATTGTTTCTTTTATTATACTATTTTGGCACCATACTATTTTGGCAGCAAGAGCAAAACAAACAAAATAAATAAATTAAAGAAAGAGGATAAAAATATATAAAACCAAATTACAAGTACAGTATGTTTACAAAAAAGAAACTAGAATACATCATATTATTAAAAACAGCAATTTCTAGATCAGCTTTGGGCAAACTACGGCCCGCGGGCCGGATCCGGCCTGTTTGAAATGAATGAAACTAAAAAAAAAAAAGACCGTACCCTTTTATGTAATGATGTTTACTTTGAATTTATATTAGTTCACACAAACACTCCATCCATGCTTTTGTTCCGGCCCTCCGGTCCAGTTTAAGAACCCATTGTGGCCCTCGAGTCAAAAAGTTTGCCCACCCTGTTCTAGATGGTGAGTATATCAGTGATTTTTTTAAAAATTGTATTTCCAAGACTTTTCTAAATTTCAGGAATAATGAGCACACATCCTCTGCTGGCTATGACTCAGCTGGGAGCACCCGTCCCCTCTGCTGGCTATGACCCAGCTGGGAGCACCCGTCCCCTCTGCTGGCTATGACGCAGCTGGGAGCACCCGTCCCCTCTGCTGGCTATGACCCAGCTGGGAGCACCCGTCCCCTCTGCTGGCTATGACCCAGCTGGGAGCACCCGTCCCCTCTGCTGGCTATGACGCAGCTGGGAGCACCCGTCCCCTCTGCTGGCTATGACCCAGCTGGGAGCACCCGTCCCCTCTGCTGGCTATGACCCAGCTGGGAGCACCCGTCCCCTCTGCTGGCTATGACGCAGCTGGGAGCACCCGTCCCCTCTGCTGGCTATGACCCAGCTGGGAGCACCCGTCCCCTCTGCTGGCTATGACCCAGCTGGGAGCACCCGACCCCTCTGCTGGCTAGCCACAGGAACCCCAGGTGCCCACCTCCCTAACTGGAGGATCAGGAGAGATTTGGGTTCCTGGGCCAAGGTCCCCTGAGCCTCTCCTTTTACAGCACTGATGAGTTAGAGCATTGTATCCAGGTAACACAGACAAGCAAATCTACTATAGGAACAGCACCAAAGCTTGCAATTACAAAAACTTATTTATTTTTTAAATGTACTTTATTGATTTTTTACAGGGAGGAAGGGAGAGGGATAGAGAGTTAGAAACATCGATCAGCTGCCTCCTGCACACCCCCTACTGGGGATGTGCCCGCAACCAAGGTACACCCCTTGACTGGAATCGAACCTTCAGTCCACAGGCCGATGCTCTATCCACTGAGCCAAACCGGTTATGGCACAATTGCAGAAATTTAGATGTGGCAATCACTTGGGAGATCGTGAAACCCACTGTCTGCTCTTCCACGATGGAGCCGGGTTCCTGAGCCAGCCTCGGGAAGGACAGCTGCCATGTGAACTCTCTGCTCCTGGCCTAATGGCCTTAATATTCTTCTTCAAAGTCAACAGCAAAGGAATTCTTTAATTCTCCACTCTCTTGGTCTGCCGCCAGCATTTCCAACAGGGCCCACCTCCTGACTGTCCTTCCCAGCCATTTCCTTGCCATCTGTCTAGTGCTGTCCCAAGGCAGGCTGTCACCCCTCCCACCGACACTGCTGTTGAGGTCTCATGCCTTCTGCCTCCTGTTTAAAGGACTCTGCTTTCACCTTCACAATCTCCTCTACACAGAACAACTCTGGCTCAGCAGAAGGTAAAACCTTCAGCGGTGCTCCTTGGTGAGAAGAGAACTCCTTAAACGGCGATCAGGTCTTCTGTGATCAGGCTCGTCCACGGCTCCAGCCTCACTGCTCCTTGTCTCCGCTGCCAACATTGCTCAGTCCAGGAACACCAAGCTTCTCAAGGGTCCCCATGCACCCCTCACTACCACCACCACCACACTGCCCATGCCTCCTGCCTTTGCTGTAGTTGTTCCTTCTGCTTGTCACACTGTCCCTGACCCCTTCACCTGCACCACTCCCAGCACGTGCACAAAGCTGCAGAAGCCCTTATCAGGTCTGGTTCAAGTATGAAGGAAGTCAGCAGTTCTATGGGAGCCTGGAAAATCACCCCCGTGCTATGTCAGCTGTCTCAACAACCAAGCCCTGAGCAGCCTGCACCTGCTCTCCCTGCAGGCCAGGTCCTACCTTACTGACGATGAACAGGTCCTCCCGCCGAACCACACCCTCCTGGATCTTGCTCTGGATCCCAGCTCCGATCTCACTCTCATTGTGGTACAGGTAGGCGCAGTCAAAGTGCCGATATCCCACATCTATTGCCACTTTCACTGCCTCTGTCACTTCTCCTGGAGCCGCCTGCAGAATGAACAAGATCCAAGGAGTTGCCCGGCTGACTACCTGCAGCAGTCATAAACTCGGTGCTTGTGAGCCACCCAGCTTTCGTGGTTGGTTGTTCTGCAGCACTTCTTGGGCAATAGATCTCAATGGCAGATTTGTAATCTTACAAGATTAAAAATAAATAAAATGAAGACTTTGTATGGATCAGGAAAAGGTGATTAGGATTAATCCAATTCTATACCACTGAAGTCCAAGAGTTTTCACAGCTTTTCCTTACCCTGGGTACGAGAACGTGTGGACTCCTACATCTGGCTGTGTGCAGAAGACATAGTGCATACAAGAATTAAAGTCAAGACAAGAATGTCAAGACAGTTAAATCCATAGAGTGCTTATTGAACAGCGCCACATGCATGGCCTTGGCTAGAAGCTGAGAACCACCAGTGAAACCACATCCTGGCCTCTAAGAATTGTTAAGTGGAGAGAAGAAATAATTTAAATAATATTTAGATGAGTGTTGGGTTGATCATTCTAATTCCTACTCTAATTTCCTAGGTGACTTCTTACAGGAATATATATATATATATATATATATATATATACACACACACACACATATATGTGTATGTATATATATATATATATATATATATATATATATATATAATCAAAGACTACATTTAAAAAAAAAAGATAAGAAAAATTGAAAGTTAGTTAGTGCCAAGTCTCAAAGCACCGACAGGTCAGAAATCCAAAGTAAAGAAAGTTCCCAAGTTCAAAGTGCTTCCGCTATCAGGTTTTACACAGAGGACCCGAAGTTACAAAGTTCCTGTTTAAAGCCAAGTTGACAAGGGCAGAATTCCTTTATCTTATTGATTCAGACAACTTTCCAGTAACAGTGGCCTCCGATCTAGTTAGGTGACTGCCACTCTTTCTGTCTGTACGCAAGCCCGACGATCTTTTCTTCTGGGCTTTTCCAAACATTATTTCTGAATAATTGTGATTTGGCTTCAATATGCAATATCAGAGACAACCCCCATTTCCAGATAATCTGCGATCTACAAATCCCATCTTTCAGACGCAGGAAGCCTCCCGGGGAGTTACAGGGACTAGCTGGCTGGGGGCTGCAGGTGTCCCCGCGGCTTTCTCCTCTCCGGGATGTCCAGGCGGGTGGCTCCCAGGTTGTCCCTGCGGGTGACCCCTCCCCAGCAGAGCGAACCGCGGTGAGGAAAGGCGCCACCTCACCTTCCAGGTGCCCAGGCCCAGAACAGGAATCTTCTCCATCCTTCGGAGCGGCTTCTGTGGCTGCGGTGCTGCTCTGGAGCGGAGCCACCGCGGCAGACCCCAGATTGGCGGGTGGCGCCGAGGCGGCGGGTTAGTGGACATCTCAGCTGGGGGGGCGGCGCCTGCGGCGGGGGCCGCGATTGGCCGGTGGCCCCAAAGTGTCCAGGTAGCAGACCGCGCCGTCCTGGCCAGTGGACACGCCCACATCTCGGGAGAAAGTTGGACGTTGGGAAGCGGGGTGCGCGCGCTACGCACAGAAGTCCTGGCAGGTCCCAGTCGCGAAGGCGGGCGGATGCGCAGGCGTCTCCAGGGTCCCAGGGTCGGCAGAGCCCCCCCAGGGCAGCCCGGAGAGGACCCGGTCTAGGGCGCTCTGTGCACCGCTCTGGGCGCCTGGGACCAGGTAGGTCCCGACCCTCACCCCACGGGGAGGGGCCTCCAGGATAAGGAGGGGAGGCCTGCTTCCTCCTCTACCACTGGATGTGCTTAGGACGGGGACCCCGAGGGTCCCACCGGTTCCTAGGAGTGTGTAGTGCGCTGTTCCCATCGATGACCTTTTGCGCTGAGGCCAGTAATGCTTTCTACACCCTGAGGTGCTTGGGACAGGGGCGGCCTGGAGGCCGGAGCAAGGCACTGGGCCGCTCCTCCGGGGACCAGGGGCGGGAGCACCCTTGCTGGTGCCTCAGGTCCTCAGGTGGAACTGGGCGGAGTCAGTGCCCTGGCTGAGCAATGGAACTGGGCTCCCCGCGACCACCACAATAGACGGGATTCAGGGGCATAGAGTATTCCAGGTCTCGCTCATCTCCCCCGCCCCCCTCTCCTCCCCTCCCCCCAGGGCCTGCGACCCCAGTGCCTGGATGACTCCAATCAATAGTGTGTTTTGTTGTTTCCGGCCTGCGGCTGCAGTGCTGGGGCTGGCCACCAGGGGGCGGGCTGTGCCCACTGGGCTCAAAGAAGTAACTGGGGCAGGGAAGGAGTCAGTCATTCTGGGCGTGGCCCTGCCTCTGACCCACCTGGTCCCTTTCATTATTAGCCTCCATCTCCAAGATGATGTGAGCTGCTCAGAGGTGGGAGAGGGCTATGAGATCATCTCACTGATTTATTCAGTTACTGTGAGAAAAAAAAATTACTTTTTATTTGTGGGAATATCAGAAAATTCTTTATATACTGCTTTCACATCACAATATGGCCACAAGTATTTTTGCATTTGGTACTGTTTATATCGTTTGACCCGTCGCCCCTCTTTTGTCCTTCAGCCTGAAAATAAGTCATCCCTGAACTGGATGAGACTTGCAGGGTGGGGACCATGCAGGCAGACACACTGCAGAAACTGGTAAAGTACCCGGTGTCTGCCCTCCAGAGCAGACTACTGTGTCCCGCCTCCCTGTCTATCTACTGAAACTTCTCCAGCACCCAGCAGGTCACACCTGCTGTGGAAAAGGTGGGTGCTTCTCCCCTACTACAGCACAGGGGTTACTCTGCCACCTCCCAGATGGGTGTCGAGAATGTCACTTCACCTCTCTGAGCCTCAGTTTGCTTGTGTGAAAACTGCGGTGTTATGAGGACTATTGTCAGGACTAAGTGGGATGAGCCACGGAGAGTGCTGACCCGGTGCCTGGCCCTGTGGAAAGGGCTGCTGAGAGCTATGGTTTTACTTATGATTTTCTCTTCCCCATGAAGCTCTCTGCCTCAAGCCTTACTTATTCTGTGGCCTGGGAAAAGCTGCTTCCCATTTGTAAACTCCTTTCTATAAGGGTGTCTCATTCTATCTGGGCAGTCCCCTGTCCTGGGTATAGCCAGAGCAAAGACTCTTAGAGGATTGCTGAGGAGCCTCAGCTACACTCAGATATCTGAGAAGGTTCATTCTATTAACAGTAGATCTATTAAGTGCCTACAGTGTGCAGGCCCCTTTCTAGACACTTGGCATAGCTCAATGAATAGAGCAGACTAAAATCCCTACCCTCCCTTGCTTCCATTCCAGTTGGGGCATCAGCCAGTGCCACTGGACATCACAGCAGGTAGAGGACACAGGATGTTCAATGTGACACCTTCCTAGGCCGGAGCCCGCTGAGCCAGAGCCCGCTGAGCCGGAGCCCTAGGGTGGATGATTGTGAGCATAAGGGGAAGGGTTGGTGCTGGGGCTACTCAGGGAGATCAGCCAGAGGTTGGTGTAGGGACAGAAGCAGACTGGCCTCAGACCACCTATTAGAAGGATTCAGCCTGGGAAGACGTCCTTTTCTGGGAAATTCTGGGATATGTTCTGTCTTTGGAGAGGCATTCGGGTGACCTTTCCTCCTGTTGCAGCTCCAGCACCATCTCCAGAGTGGCTCTGGCTCCAGCATCAGTTCCTGTAGCATCTCCTGAGCCAGATCCAGCTGTATAACTACGGAGCCCAAGCCCACATAGAGCCGGAGGCACTACTGTCACTAGATTTGATGCCACCTCCAGCAGCAGGTCCAGAGCCAAAGCCAAGTGTACGACCGATTCTAACAGCAATTCCAGAGCTAGAGGCCACTCCAGGAGAAGCTCAGAGTGGCCTTGTCTTCCCACGTGTGGAACAGGAGCTGCACCTGGAGCCTCCCTCCACGCCAGCTCCAGAGCTACACCCAGGACCAGAGCTGGCCTCCTCTCCCCTCTGGTGGTAGCACTTTTTTTTTTTCATTTTTCTTTTTATATTTAAATTTAAAAAAAACCACATTTGTTAAAATTTAAATTCAGTATGATGCAACCTTTAAATCATTTTAAACTGCAATTTAGAGGCATTAGCATTTCCCTATGCTGTGCAGCCAGCCCCACCGTCTAATTGCAGACTGTTTTCATCTCCCCAAGAGGAAAGCCCACACCCAGTGGTCACTGCCTTCCCTTAGCCCCCAGCAATAGCTAACCTGTTTTGTCTGTTTCTTTACCTAGTCTGGATTATTCATACAAATGGAATCATACTATGTGGCTTTTTATGTATGCCCACATATTTTAAGAAGGACTCATCTTTGCTTTTCTTAAAATTTAAAATAGCACTTTTTTATTTAAAAGACAAATCCCAGATGAAAAAAAAAGATTATATGTGAAAACTGAAGCCCTTATAGTAGATATGTTCAAAATCTGGGGCAGGGTGGAAGTGGGACCGCTGTTCTAAGTGTCACCAGGAGCCATAAAGAAACAGCTGGCTCTTTGGTGGCCATCTGAAACAAGGAAAACATATCCAGTGGAAAGACAAAAGGAAACTAGAACAGCATTCCTCAGAACCTGAGGACAGAGAAAGGTTTAACACACTGATGGTACCAAAAACTCTGAAAAAACAGTTTTAAAGGGATCCAGAAATGAAACATGCTGTGCAAACGGGAAGCAGGGCACGTGGCCTAAATGCCAGAATGGCCAACTCCCTGCTGAGGGCACACACTGCTAGCATGTCACCACTGAAGTATGGTAGCAGTCATGTCAGGTAGAAACTATAGTTTAACTTTAACCCTGCTGTTTGGCTTCTGTACTTATTTTCTTTGTTTAACAATAGAAAAGTTATTTTGATTTTCTGAATTATATAAATCATCCCATTCGATTGAATACCCTATTGATTGTAATGTGAATATCCCATTGGCTGTGGTCACATTCCTCAGTACCTTGGAACCAGGACAGCACAATTATCCCAAGACCTGAGGGCTCCAGATAATGTGTTCCTGTCAACTTAGTGGTCCCAAGACCCGAGGGCTCTAGATAATGCGTTCTGGCTGATTCATTGATCCCAAGACCAGGACAGCACAATTACTCTAAATTGCCTTGATGGCTCTAGATAATGTGTTCCTGTCAACTCAGTGGTCCCAAGACCAGATGGCTCCAGATAATGTGTTTCGGTTGATTCAGTGATCCGGAGACCCAAAACTATAATTAACATGCTTAAGTCTGCTTCTGTAAACTGCTTTTTTGCAAACTAGGTTCCTCATTCCAAACCCTGGGATGTAATCGATACCTTTGTGATGTTTGCCTATCTAAATCTGGTGGTGGGCCTGGGGAGGGCACTGCGAGATTTGGGAGAGCGAAATGCCCCCTCGTAGTCCCAGATTTGCAATAAAAATGACTCTTTAATTCGACTTCTTGAGGCGTCCTTGTGTGATTCGCGGGCTACATTACAACACCATCACTAGCAGGGTTTATGTTGGGTGATAACCAACTTTGGGGACAATGTGAGGAAGCAGAGGCCCCACCAGATCCCCTGGAGAGAATTGTGAAAGGACACTCATCTCTGGGAGGGAGCATAAAGTTCCACAGGTACAAAGGTACAATCTTTACCTAGCAGTGCTGAGCCTAGGAATGCATCCAGAAGAAATGCCTACATAATTCTTCCAAGCTTATTTATAAGGCTACCCATTACAGTCCACACAGAGTATTCATTGTGGGGCCATTGCCCTGGTCTTGGCCCCATCCATGCTCCTGTTCTTCTTGCCCCATAACCTAGCTTCTGAGCAGAATAGTGGGTCTGCTATCTGGGACAGATGGGGGAAATGGCCTGGCTGCCTGCCCGCTCCCTCTTCCAGGCACAAACCCCTTCCTCTCAGACAGGAAAGCACACCAAGGCTGAACAATAGGGATGACCTTGAACATGTCTAAGGGTTGGTGGGCTAGGGCAAGTCGCGATATCCCTTCCAAGATGCTGCACCTGGCCCCTCCTCCCACCAGAAAAGGCACAACCCTAGTGGCCTCTCAATTTTGGAGGCAACATATTTTTCATTTTGGTATGTGACTCTAGCCCAGTTGTCGGCAAACTGCAGCTCAGCAAACCATGGCTTGCGTGCCACATGCGGCTCTTTGGCCCCTTCAGTGTGGCTTTCCCACAAAATACCAGCTCTTCCACAAAACACTGACTTCTGCACATGGGCCACGAAGTTTCAATCGCACTGTACGTGCACGCCCACACGTGGTATTTTGTGGAAGAGCCACACTGAAGGGGCCAAAGAGCCTCATGTGGCTCGCAAGCCACAGTTTGCCGACCACAGCTCTAGCCCATTTACCCATTGAACTGAAAAGCTGCTAGTTTTGAGCTGGGCCCAGAACAAGAGAAGGTTCTGCAGTAGTTCTAGGCTGCCATGCAGGCTTTTCTGTCCTTGGGCCATGAGCTCCTGTAGGTCCAACGGTGCCTGTGTGCAGGGGGCAGTCAGGACTGCTTGTGTGGAGCCTTTGGCAACCCCTTTGGTGAGTCAAGGCATGAGCCCTTGAGATTTGGGAGCAAAGCCCTGCTATGCTCTTTAAATAACTATATTATATACTAGAGGCCTGGTGCATGAAATTTGTGCACTGGAGGAGGGACCCTCAGCCTGGCCTGCACCCTCTTGCAGTCTGGAACCCCTTGGGGGATGTAGCAGTGCACCAAGGGGCAGGTGGCCAGGGAGGAGCCTGAATTGGGGCCAGGTGCAGTGCTGCTACCACTCAGTAGTGCTGCCACGGAGTCGGGAGAGGGACCGCCATGGCAACTGCACTCACCAGCTGTGAGCCCGGCTTCTGGCTGAACGGCGCTCCCCCTGTGAGAGTGCACTGACCACCAGGGGGCAGCTCCTGCGTTGAGAATCTGCCCCCTGTTGGTCTGTGTGCATCATAGCAACCAGTCATTCTGCCATTCAGTCAATTTACATATTACCCTTTTATTATATAGGATTATATAATATGTATAATATTCATGATATACATTACTATGTTATAAATATACTATTAATAAATATGTATAAATATTTTAAATACAATATTATATACAATACTGACATATAATATATAATGTGTATAATTCATATGTATATAAATGTATAATATATTTATAAAATAGTGTATATAGCTATATACTGCATAATACATGGCCTTTATATACTACCTGAGACCCGGTGCATGAAATTTGTGCACAGGAGCGGGGGGGGGGGGGGTGTCCCTTAGCCTGGCCTGCACTCTCTTCGAATCTGGGACCCCTCGGGGGATGTCCAGCTGCCAGTTATTGGGCCTAAACTGGCAGTCAGACATCCCTCTCCCAATCTGGGACTGCTGGCTCCTAACCACTCACCTGCCTGCCTGATCGCCCCTAACCACTTGCCTGCCTGCCTGATCGTCCCTAACCACCTCTGCCTCAGCCCCCACCACCGTGGCTTCATCTGGAAGGATGTCCAGAATGACGTCCAGATGGTCGTTCAGCTGTTCAGTCTAATGAGCATATTACACTTTTATTGTTATAGATTACCTACTTTCTCTGGCTAGAACTGTCAATACTATGCTAAGTAGAAATTGGGGGAGTGAGTATCCTTTCCTGTTCCTGACAGAAAAACTTTCAATTTTTCACCACTGAGTATGCTATTAGATGTGGCCTTGTCATAAAAGGCCTTTATTATGTTGAGTAAGTTCCCTTTTATTCCTAGTTTATTGAATATTTTTGTTTGTTTTTTTGTTAATCCTCACCTGATATTTTTCCATTGATTTTTAGAGAGAGTGGAAGGGAAAGGGAGAGACCAAACATCGATGTGAGAGAGACAGAGATACATCCATTGGTTGCCTCCTGCATGCTCTCCAACCAGGACCGGGGATTGAGCCTGCAACTGAGGTAATTGCCCTTGACTGGAATTGAAACAAAGACCCTTCAGTCTGCAGGCCAACGCTCTATCTACTGAGCCACCCTGGCTAGGGCTTATTGAGTGTTTTATCATGAAAAGTTGTTGAATCTTGTCACATGCTTTTTTTTTGTAAAAGTTGAAATGATGATGTAGTTTTCCCCTTTATTCTGATAATGTAGAGTTTTTTGGTATGTTAAACCATCCTCAGAATAGACTCCCTCATGTTTGGCTTCTGTCCTGATGCTGGTGAGATTCACAAATGTTTGTGTGGGAATCTATACTGTTGTTTTCCATGTCTATCCTCACATACTACCTTACTACCTTGATCACTGTAGCTTAAGGAAAAGTCTGAGTAGCTGGAATTGTGCATCCTCTAACACTGTTTAAGATTGTTCTGATTACTCTTGGCCCTTTGTATTTCTATATCGATTTTGAAATTAGCTTATCAATTTCTACAAAGCTATCTGCTGAGGCACTTTTTAGGGATTGTATTGAATCTATAAATCAAATTGGAAGAATTGACATTTTAACACTATACCAGGGAAAAAGACATCAGACCTTAAAAAGAAAGAAATGATAAGCTGGGAACAAATATTTGCAACTCATATCTCAGACAAAGGACCTAATGTCCTCAATAAATAGATATTAGAAACTGATGAGAAAAGAGCAGCCACACAATAAAAGTGGACAAAATACATCATCAAACACTTCACAAAAATAAGCTCTTATACACACGAAATATGCTCAGTCTCAGTTATTTACCAAATCTAGAAGATTGAACATATACTATGAAACTGTGCAGAAATAGGAACTTTTATCATCAGTGATGAAAATGCCAGTTGCCTTCCAATGAAGGCAGTTTGATCACATTGATCAAACTTACAAATGTATTTACTTCTAATTCAATAGTCCCAGGTTCAGGGAATTTATCCCATGGAAACATGTCCACATTTGACATATGTACATGGTCACCCATCACAGTTTTCTTCATATAAGAAAAGATTGGAAACAACCCAACTTCCTTCATTGTCTCTCAGGTTATATGAGCGATGGCCATCTCTGAGATGGAATACAATGTAGGGGGGGAAAAGATCAGGAAGAGTGAAGAAAGGAAACTACTAATTTGCAAAGATCTCTGACTGGTGCTTATTGCTCACAGGAGTGGCCCTCACTGTTCTGCCCCACCCATGTCAAGCTGGCTTTTTTAGCACCTAGAAACATGACTTTACTAGTGTGCCACCAATGCCAGAGTCTTTGTGGTCAATGGGGGTTACCCAGGGATCTGGGCCACGTGTGGAAAATGACCAGAAGGATCCCAGTCAGTCTCCCAGAAGACATTGCCCAGTTCCCCTGTTAAATTCAAACCCCAGCTTCTGGGGTTATCAGTGGGAAGATAGGTGTCTTATAGGATCAAGAAAAACTTCATGGAGGAACCTAGGAATGGTTTCCTCGAATGACTATTTTACTTACTTATTTATTTATTTATTTATTTATTTATTTATTTATTTATTTTAAAATATTTTTATTGATTTCAGAGAGGAAAGGAGAGGGAGAGAGAGATAGAAGCATCAATGATAAGAGATCATCATTGATTGGCTGCCTCCTGTACACCCTACTGGGGACTGAGCTTGCAACCAGGCATGTTCCCTTCATCAGAATTGAACCTGGGACCCTCTGTCCACAGGCCGACGCTCTATCCATTAAGCCAAACCAGCGAGGGCCAAATGCCCATTTCAAATATGACAAACCTGAGGGGAGTTAAGGGAATGACCAGATGGGATCACCAATATCATGGGTGCTCAGACCAAGGGCCCTGCCCACATACTCTCCAGTCCCACCCAGGTTGGTCCTGAGCTGCTAGACAAGGACATATATATGATCCTGATCCTGGTAGCTGCTCCCAAATGAGCTGGATGGCTTGACTGTGACCCACATTTCCTCTTTAAGCCCTGCTCCAGTCTGTTTCCTCCCGTAGTACCTAGTAGGCACTTACCTATGCACTGAATCAGTGTAATCCTCCCAACAAGCCTATGAGGTGGTTGCTTTCATTTTACAGAGGAGAGACCTGAGACAAAAGTCTTGAGTTGATTGGTTCATTTACTGATGCACTCAGCTCCTGTGTACTGCTCCCTGTAGTGTGCAAGCAACTAGAAGATATACATGAAGTCCAGACACCCTCCCTGCCCTTAGATCTCACAGCACACCAGGTGGGACAATATCTAACCCACAGCCAAAGTTATGGCTCCAAAGTTATGGCCACCTCTAGAATACCCATGGAGTTAGTTAGAGCTAGCTCTGGCACCGGCTATACAGCTAGACCTAGGACCAGATTGAGAGTTATAGCCAGTTCCGGTTCTAGATCCAGACCTAAAGCAATATCCATAATTCATTCTCTCATCATTTCTGGTACCAGTGCCAGAATTATAGTCAGCCACAGAACTAGAGCCACTTCTAGAGCCAGCTGTAGCAGCACTGCCTGAGATAGAGCCTGCTCCAGCACCAGCACT